AGCCAGCCTGCGCTGTGTGTCGTCACCCCTAGACCGCCGCCCGCCCGCCACCATGGCCATGGAGCACATGAGCCCCAGCGAGCTAGATGGGCCTGGTTCCATAGGCCGTGCACGGGCGCCTGCTGGAGCTGGGCAGACCTGGCCTTGGTGTTCCTCAGTATTCCCCCCGCACGAGCAGGGAGTGTGCCGCAGTGGCGTGCAGGCGGGGGCTGTGCTGGCAGCCAGCTGTGGCTCCGCCGCCCGCCCGCCACCATGGCCATGGAGCACATGAGCCCCAGCGAGCTAGATGGGCCTGGTTCCATAGGCCGTGCACGGGCGCCTGCTGGAGCTGGGCAGACCTGGCCTTGGTGTTCCTCAGTATTCCCCCCGCACGAGCAGGGAGTGTGCCGCAGTGGCGTGCAGGCGGGGGCTGTGCTGGCAGCCAGCTGTGGCTCCCGCCCTTCAGGGTTGAGTTTCTGTTCTTCCAGACAACGAGTAGCCCGAGCGTTCAACTTCCAAGGGAAGGGGGCGGGAAGATCCCCAAGTGTCCACTTGCTTCCACCGCGGTTGTCTTCCTGCCCTCTTCCAGATCCACACCCCCTTCAGCTCCCACTCCCTGCTTCCCCCCGTAGGAACAGGAGATGCCAGGGGATTCCTCCGCCGCCCACACACAATCTGTTGAGTGCAAAAAATGAAATCCATTGGGTCTCCCTCCCTAGGTCAGGGGCTGCGTCCTTGTTCCTCCGCTTCTGTCAGAAAACATCGTTCCGCTTTCAAGACTCAGTAGTGATTGTCACATGACCAAATATTACCAGGACTGTTAATCAGTATATGCTGAGTGCTTGCCCTTTGTATACAGATGTAAGCTCCCCATGTATAGCTGACTTTCTAGCAAGAGGCTGTTTTGTTACTTTTTGCCTTTTTGGTTTTAAATGAGTTTTTCTTTTATCTTGTTGAAAATTCTGGAGAGAGAGAGAGACACACACACACACAGAACTGGGATTTTGGGTCACTTTTACTTTTCCCTGCCTCTGCTAGTCGTTTCTTGGGGGGAGGGGACAAAAACCGTGGTGTTTTGAGACTTTATATTTGTGTGTCTTTTCTTTTAGTCTTGCCCAGTCGAGTTTTAAAAAAAAAAAGACAGAGGAATGTCGGTGAAAATCTTGTGTTTTCTGTTTTCCTTTTGCGATGGTCTGCAGGTCTGTATTGTGAACGCTTTTGGAAAGTAATTGTCCCAAACACACACGTTTCCACCAGGATGCTTTTCAAGCAAAAATGCACACACAGAGCAGAGAGCCCCAGAGAGCTTCCCATCAAAATCTGCTTTGCTCCCCCTGGGAGCCCCTTGTTGCTCTGGTGGTGCAAATGGAGGCCTAGCTGTCTCCCTGAGGTACTTCCCTGCTGCCAAGCCTAGAGAGTAAGCCTCCTCTTGAGTCTAACGGCCAGCGGAGAGCCTGGGAGCTGGTGCTAGAGATGGGCTGGGTGGGTGTGAGCTGCAGACTTGTAGCAAGGGTGCAGACAGTCCATGCAGTGTCCATCATGCGCTGGGGGTCGGGAGTGTCTAATCGCTGGGGCGGAGTGGCAGCATCTGGAATCGGAGACAGGCAGTGCTGACATCTTTAACGAATTCCACGTCAACGCGAAGTGCTGGAATCGAGTTCCCTTTCCGGAGAGCCAGGCAGCTGCCAATGCGATGGTCCCATGGCTCTGTTGGGGGGGGCAGTGCTGACTGAATCTGGACCCATTGGCCCAAGAGAGCTGCACCAGTGCTGATCAGAACCCCAGCTTGGAGAATCAAGCCAACCCCACCAAGCTGGGTGTCCATTGACAGATTCCCACCCAGAGCTCCTCTGAATGAATTCCTGTTTGAACAAGAGCAGGTGGAACCTAGGGTTACCTACAAAACCAGGAACGTTGTGACGTGGGCTCCAACGGCAGGGGTCAAAACCTGACTTTTCAGTGGACAGGGACCCCACATGTGGATGAGAAACCAAGGAGGAAAAGCCACTAGCCTCTTGCTTAATTTTACATCCAACTCAGAGAGAAACCTAGAAGCTTGTATCTAAACTGGCAAGGCAAAGATCAGTTGAAACACACCAGGAGATTGAAATAAATACCTGAGTTGTGCTAGCAGAGTTCCGGGAGTGTTTGTAACATGGAGAGGACTGTCCGAATGCCAGGAGGGGAAGCAGTTACGCCGTTCCCAGAGTGGTGCTGTTTTCCAAGGTCTGTTTTAAAAATACATGGCTTCTGATCTTACCGGGTGACTCGTCCACAGTTGTCATCTTCATGGGCATAGCTGGGGTAGACTTGGTCCCATGGCAAAGGAATTGAGTGGATCCTAGCATCTGAATCCCATAATCGCAATAAAAAGGATCCTGTGAGATTCCTGTGTCATCCTGTCACCACTATGAAACCTGGGTCATTAAATTAGCACTGGCCAAAACAGCTCTGTTAGCAACGTTCTGGAGCTGAATTAGTACCAAATAGCAGCTGACTGGGGCACAGATGGGGAATTTGACTGAGAAGATGTCTTTCATCTGATGCATCAGATTTTCAATTCCAGACAGAAGGGGAGCCCTCTCAGCTGATCTGAGAGGGGTTTTGCTTGAGATTTCTTTTTTTAAGTTCTATTTTATTCCAAACACACCTTAATTATCTATATACTTGCAATTCTTTGCATCTGTTGGATGCATAGTTGGGACAATTGCTTTACGAAAAGACTCCCTCAAGTAGATTGTTTTCCTGAAATAAATCTTGGACCCGTTGTTCTTTTCTAGTTTTTGTGTACAGCCAAAACGTCTGAAAGCACTGACTATTTAAAACAGGAAACAAGCAATGAAAGGAAAAGTTTGTATCATTTCAGTGAGAAGCAACCCAGCCACCTCCATGTGAATGTACGTGTATGTTTCCAGGAGTCCACGCCGATTGCTCATTGTACCTTATTTATTATATACGAGAGTTTGCCTTATAAATTTACAAGAAAACCAAGCGACCCTGCACGTCTGTTCTTTTGCGTGTCTTGTGTTGCCGCCACGTGCTCTCCCGGGTAAGTACTGGGCTCGGCCCCGCCCGCCGGTGGCCACGCCCTTTCCCACAATGCTTTGCTGCACGCTGGCGCCTCCGCCGGCCCTGGGCGCTGCAGCAGAACCACACCCAAGATGGGGGCGCTGCCGTCACGCGGCCCCGACGCTTCCGCCACACTCACCATGGCGTCACGCCGCTCGGTAGGTGGAGGCTGCAGCACCCAAGATGGCGTCGGGAATGGGGCCGTTCTCCGCAATGCGCATGCGCATCTGGAGTTTAAAAGTTTTCTCTTAAAGGCGACGCGCCTGACGGGCCGCGCGGGGCATGGCCGGGACCGGCTCCGGGACCGGCCGCTTCCTCT